TAGCACTCACAGGACTGCTCCCAGATTTTGACCTTTTTGGCAATTTAGACTTTTTGAACGGTTGAAGACCTAGTTTACTTCACTAGTTGGGACGATTATTACTTTGTTCATTTTCGAGAGAAGAACTTGTGTTCGACCCAGTGTTTTAGTTTACGAAAACTGACAATAATTTTTCAACTGTATAAAAATATTGGGTGCTTTCATAGCCAGATTCAAATTTTCGAATGATAAATAGCTTCCATGCTCATAGCACCGAAAATATAAATAAACTTCCTTTGATTTCCAAAGTTCTTATTGAACTTAATCTTGGTTGTTTTACTAACATTGAAAATCAATTTAAATAGGGGGGGGGGGGTATCAATTACACTTTGTCTTCTATTCAAAACGAAGTTGCAACATTAATGGAAGCAAATATTTGTCTTTCCTCTTTATCTAATGCGAAGACCATTTTCATTCAAAGCCGTTTTGAGATTTAGATTTTATAGTTAAAACAGATCTAAGCGTTCATATTCAAATTTAACTAAATTAGTTGGCCTAAAAGGTATGAAACTTACTTGATTTGACAAGTAATCAGAGAGTCGACTTTCCCGTCTGAATCCCCAAGAGTGCTTGTCAAGCGTTATACAGCTTTCCCATTTATGATTGGGAAGTTTGTCCGGATGGTACCTATCTTCACAGTTGTAGAAATCACCATGTTTACAATCAGAATCTGAGCCCCAACGATCGTTTACCACAACTTCATCTTTCACCGGAGAGTCGTTGTACAACCAGGCAAGGAATTCCTTCGACTTCCAATAATCACTTGTTCCTGGTGCTCCATCTGACCATATTATACTTGGATGATATCGAAGCACTAAATCGAAGAGTTCTGGCATCGTTTTTTGAAGGACGAATGTCTAAAGGGCATTTCTTAAATCTCAACCTAATTACCTGTTGTTTATAACCAGTAGCCTTATCGGCAAGGTAGAGGGGATTAAACCACTCAAACATGGAATGATAAACACCGAAACGGAGGGATGTTTTGGATCGAATAGCATCAGCTAAGTCGCCAACAATATCCCTTTTTGGGCCTACATCTTTTGAATTCCAATTCCAGGAGACCGAAGAAGGCCAATTGCAATATCCCTCGTGGTGTTTTGCTGTGAGAACTACGTACTGCGCACCAGAGGCTGCAAAAATTTCTGCCCATTGCTTAGGATTAAAGAATTCGGCACGAAAATTCTGTGCAAAGTCCGGGTACGAGAACCCACTGGGGTAGTAGGTCTGCATGTAAACCCAAACACGTGGTTCTGGGGGTTTTCCTTGCCAATACCACCAGAACCACTCACTGCTGCATTGAATTCATTAGTTTTAGATTCAGAATCACTTACACATAACTGGGAACCGAAAAAACTCCCCAGTGAATGAAAATACCTATTTTTGCCTCATCATACCATGACGGTAAAGGTCGAGTGTCAAGTGACGCCCAATCTGGGGTGTAAGTGACATTTGAAGAAGTTACGGTCCCAAGGAAAATACAGAGTGTTCCAAAAAAAGTAATTCCTGGCACTAGCATACCTACTAGATTGGCGACTGATCTTGGTTAAATGACAAATGCAGTTCCTGAGTTTTGTTTATATGGTAGCACAGTGATTGCAAGAGACCTCCAACAGGTAAACAAGTTATAAGACAAAACTAGACTTATGATAAATTTCGTCAGACAATAGTCGATTGAAGTGACCATTTGTAATAAGGCAATAATTTTAGTTTATCCTATATAGGCTCTGGAAACGAATCTAAAATAATTTAAAGAATCCTTGGGGAACCGCCCACTGTATCCGCCTGCCATGTTGAAGTGAAGTGGAAAGATTCACTGACTAAATTCGAGACTCTCACCAGGGCATTTCTCTGATCATGAGACTTATCATGGACCATCCTATTTATCGAGGTTGGATAAATAGATATATTTAGAATTCTTTATTAAAAAGCACTACAACCAAATTTTGGTGTTCCGGAAATTGTAACACTTCAGTTGTTTGTTATCCGTTTTAAAGATCCTCTAAAATGGAATTCATACAGGACTTCTTTGAAGCAGTGATTACTCGCTAACATGAACCAAATACTTTGTTTATAATTAAAACACTGACAAATTCTTCCCACAGTTCTCAGGTGCATTAATCTCACAATTACCCTCTTTTAAGTTACCTAATAGATTCTTATAAATTTGTTGTGAAGCAAACATTCTCAAAAAATTATCTCCAAATTGACTGGGAGTACTAACATTCGTTACAAATATAAATGAAAAATGAACTCACTGCTGAACAAATACTGTTGGAATACTACTTTAGCATACGTGACTGGAGGCCTTCTTGTTCAATTAACGACCAAAAGTAATTACGTCCAGACAATGGCTAAGGCCAATAAGTGGTCACCATTACAGAGAGCGCATATAAGGAAGACGTTCCACTTCATACACAAAACACACAGCACGCCATATATCTTTTTCCTCTATAGATTTGTGGTAGCTTAGCTAGTCCTAGGAGTCTTTCTATACATTGAAGAATCTTCCACAGATTTCTGAGTATAGTGGGGGTTTATTAATGTTGCAGATATGAAAGTTCGATTGTGACTAAAATTCATTTTCCACACTGATTATTAGAAAATTGCAAACCTACAAACAATATTTAAATATTAACTGATACTGCCTTATTAATAACTTAAAAATTCTATGTTTGGTTATTGCTTGATAGATATGAATCAGACTGATATAAAGTTATATTTCAGTAAAAACTAAATATCGGAGAAAAGGAAAATTTTACAATTGGTTTAAAAGGTATTAATACTTCAAGATTAAACTCGACGATTTTACTAATCTTTCTCGTCCTAACTTTGCAAAATAATTCAAATAAATGTATAAAGTTGGAATGTAAGATTTAATACAACTGTAAACTTGAAATAATATATATACTCATCAACTGGATAAAGGACTGTATGGTATGATGAAATACATATAAATAACAGGTATATTTTTTTTAAAAATTAGCACTAAGGCAAGATTAAAGAGAGGGTATTGAAATGCTTAACAGAGCTGGATAAATTAAGGTTAAATTTAATAAGTAAAATCTGGTAAATATAGAATATATGGTAATTGTTTTAAGATGAAACTGAATTAAAAATTACGTAAAATAATGTTTATCAGGCGCATTTTAATAAGTCACTATGTTATTATAACTAAGAAATCAAGTAAAAATTACAAATTAAATGCATTGCTATTAATAATTATGCTGATGCTTAGAATGATTTCTTTTTAGGAGCGCTCTTTATAACTCCACTACTACCAGATTTTTTATACTGTTCATATCAATGGATGACGGCGGTATGTAGTTATTTTTACAGAAAAACTTTGATATCTATTCACTATCCTTTTTATAATTCCTACAAAATTTAACGTCTTAATTTTATACGGAAAAAATATTTCATTGATATATGTGTACAGCACATTTTGTTATCTGAAAATATCCGTATCATTTCAGACTTTTGTCGCGTTTGCCGGTGTGAAGGTTCACCTTCACAGCCTCTTTTCTATCCTTGCTTATGTACTGGAAGTATCAAATATGTTCATCAAGATTGGTAAGGTCTAGTTTCTTCTAGGATGCCATAGTGTTAACTTTTTAAAGAACTGAACTCATAATTGTTTTTACTTTGATAATAGTTTAGTGCAGTGGTTGCAATATAGCAAGCGTCAGGCCTGTGAGCTCTGCAATCATCGTTTTACCTTCAAACCAGTCTACGCCCCTCATACTCCCCCTGTTGTACCTTTGCGAGTTCTATTCTTTGGCATCCTAACCGCCTTCCGAAATATTGTGGTGCGGTTCTTCCACCTCCTTGCTGTCGCCTTCTCATGGCTCTTTGTGGTTCCTCTCACTGTTTGTCGTATTTACCGGTGTTTCTTCTCAGGAAATGTTGTCGAACTGCTTTCGCTGCCCCTGGATATTTTTACTACTGAACATGTCGTCCAAGACTGTATACAAGTAACTGTTTATTATTTAATGTTTATTCAGATTTGCATACTCCGGTTCATTATACTTATACTTGGTATTGACTATCAGTAAATTTTATTTTCGGAAATGTGTAGTCTTCCTGCTTAAATAGTTCATTTTATAACTAGTTGTGTCATATGATCAAAGAGGAGCGAATTTCCGCCAATGTCACGTTAAAGCCGATAAATTTTTGTGTCTATAAGCGGCGGATTTGCTTTAAAATTAATTCACCTGTTATGCCTGTCTTTACATTTCGTTTGACTCTTAACCGGTAATATTTTAATAAATTGGTCTTTTTGGTTCTTAGGCCGCTGATTACTTGTGTTAAACTGGGCCATTCATTATCAAATTTAAATAAGGGAAATCTATCCGCTAAAATTCGCTATGTGGTTTTATACTCAAGCAAGAGGTTATGGAACCCTTGCCTTTAAAACTGGTAGAGAGAGATTTGTAGAAAATGATTGTTAGATCATGGGATTCAAGTATGCTGCTCCGTGAAATTTTTTGTGGAAAAATATTTATTTTGCTTTTATCGTTTAGCGTGTAGAGTCAAGTGCTGGTCTACTGTTAGTTCCGATATTTATCATTCAGATTCTTTTGCTTACTTTGTTTTGATTAGTCAACAGAATGTCTGTCCTTCCTCTTATCACTTCAACTCCAAACCTTTTTGAAGATAGTTGAATTTACAATCACGAATGCCCCCGTAATACTCTGAGCTAGGTAAGGGATGCCTTTTTCCATTCTGTATTAATTTATTCATTCCCAAAGCAAACAGTAGTTTTGGACTAAACAAATCGTAGTTGTTATATATTATTTTTTGGTTAGTGGGCGGATGAGAGTTCTACAGTTACGGTTAGAATGTATACCTTTCGTGCGTCAGTAAACTGATAGTTAGCTTTAAACATGGTCAACGAATAGGGCTACATATTTGGTGATGGTCGATCAACAACTTACAGGCTTTTATAGAAAAGTTAAGGATGGATGGGGATTACTTCACTATTAGTAAATTCTTGTCTTTATATCCGCTCTCTATCGACTTATTTGTAAAAGTCGCGACCTGAGGAATTTATTGAATTTTTCCAATTCTTCAGGGGTTCATGATCGTCTTAGTGGCTCTCACCGCCCTCTTTGGCTGCGTATGGCTGAGGGAGCAGTTGGTGATTGGTGGTGAACCGGAATGGCTGACGGCTGCTGCCGGCGGTAGTGGCGAAGATTCAGTAGGGGGGGAGGAGGAGGAGGAAGACCAGGAAGAGACAAATCAAGCGAATCAAGTCGTTGCTGTGGCAACCAACGGGCAAGCTTCTGCACCCTCCACGCCTGCAACGCCTTCGAGTTCTAATGGAAGTCCATCTTCCTCTGACTCACTGGGTGAAGAGTCACCCACTCACGCAGGCATGCTCTCTTTATTACTTTATTAATTAATATTTTTATCAAAAACGGGAGTTGGATAGAGTCATATCTAGATTTTTATCTCGAATTTACTAGAGACGAAGTTGTATAAAATTACTATATTTTGTTCCTGAATAGAGAGTTTGAATTGTCTCTTGTAGCACGCTCAGCTTGAGCCAATTATTGTTGTCAAGCCTAGTTTTGTATATTTTACTGGATATACAATTCTTCAAGAACCAATGTTTGGGTTTATTCATATTTAAGTGGTATATTCCAAAGATCAGTTTTAATTTATTAATTGCCAGAGCTAAGGTTCATACTTTTATAAGATGGTGTTATTTCCCTTCTCTTATTTTCAAAGTTGAACATTTGGTTGGCATAAAGTTGGATTTATAACGTTCCAAGCCCATGTGGAAAAAGTTCACAGCACTTAGCTCGGATATAAGGGGAAGGTATCCATTAGCTACTCAGATGAGAAACTTGCATTCTACGGCATCTTATTGGCCAAAATTAGTCAACATAATTGGTAGTTCACCGCCTTGAAAGTGCACCGATGAACATTGACTTCGTCGTCTCTGACTTGGTATATATACAGTTTCACCCCCACGACAATGACCATTTTGAATAGTCATTCCATATTCCCTTGGACCTAGAAAACAGCATATTATATTGGCTTATATTATCTATTGCCCATTATTAGGCACACATTTATTTAATCTGCTTCAAGTCACTTTTGTACATTTGAATATGCCATGATATCTTACTTATCGGTCATCGGCAATAGCCTAACCTAAGGCTACCTTTGCTCTGTTTTTTGCAAGTCCTAAATCCCCAAAGGGTCTTTATTTGCATAACTTATGTTTCCTACATCTCCACATTAATAATCGGACGGCTTTTTTAACTACTTGAATTATCATCAATTCTTTCTAAATCTGACTTTACAGTACCAGGAGTTGCCTTTGGTGTGCTAGTTGCGTGCACTTTTGTAGCTATTGCTACAAATATCCACAACTCCTTTTTTGTTATTTTATTGTGTTTTTTGTGAATACGAATTCTTGTTTAATTAACATCAAATTACCTTTTGTATTTTTTTTGCCAAATTGTAAATTCTGACTTTATTACTTGGATGGTGGCTGCTGAAAGACGATGTGTTTCTTCATGGGGTCATAAGGTCATCTTTACTCTGTTATTTTTACATGGGATTCCTTAAGTACTTCTAAGGGTATTAAGTTAACTTTCGTTGATTTAATTTAGTTTAAAAAAATATTTAAACTCTCAGTGGTCCACTCTTACTTGTGGAATGCTGTGTTTGAATGAATACCTGATTATAGAAGGTTCCTGCAAAACGTGTTGTCTATGGGTATTTTCAGCCACCAACAGCATTGAATAGTAAATTTTTAAAAATTTCTACTGCACACAAATAGGTATTTTTCTCGTGGCTCATGTTACCAATGCGTCACCTGCACGATATGTGCAATTACGAAAACACTCCCTATCGTATGATGAGTCCACACTAATTCATGGTAATTAATGTTTACTCAATGTTAGATACTTCTAAAACTCATTTAGGAAGGAGTTGAGAGAGAGGGGGGGGGGGACTATCATGAAAATTCTGTGGTGATTAGCCTGATTTCTGTCGCCGCTTATTTTAATAAGACCTATGAAGCGTGCGTTGAGCATATGAGAACCAATGTTCCATTGACACGCAAAGCGCAATATTACTATAAATCTAATAATACTATAAATCGGTCAATAACCGATTTAGTACATGCCTTATCGACTAACCTCTCCATTCTTTTCAATTTCGTTTACCTTCACTTCCGTTCAAGCAGGATTATTTAAGCATATCTAAGTGCTATCGATCTTCGTGCATTCTTTTTAAACACCATATTGTCCATCGCGTAGGACGCATTTTAATGCTACAAAGATGGAGAATGGAACTATCAAGGCTCTTTTTGTTCTCAATTTTTTGGCTTTTACTAATGGTGCTTCTCATTCACCCAATGTAATGCATTAATGTGCACCGATGGTATAGCGGTCAATGTGCATGTGTCACATTTTTTTGTGCTCATGACTGCGCTTCAACTGAATTGCAAGATCATCTCTATGGACTAACTTCTCATCGAAGTAGGTATGCTATAGTGCGAATTCTCATCATAAAAGCTCTAGTAAAGTTTGCCCTGCCAATGCTGCGTGCTAGAAAACGCTTCTCTTAACTAGGTTTATACCTTATGCCATGATGCTGCTGTTATTCTTTGCTAGGTCTGGCAAGAACATGACCTAGTTTTGAATATGTAGTGTAATAATAGAGGGTGAAAGGTGTGTAAAGATAGGAAAATCCGATAATAGAGTTTGCAATGAGTGTCAAACTGGGAAGAGCCGTATAAGGTGAGTTGTTATGCGCTGAGTGAATAGCTTTGTGCCCATTATTTTGATAAGCAACCGATTTTAAGTCGTATTATGTCATTTAGGATGACTAAAGCATACAATGAAACTAGCGCTTTTCCCATTTGTAAGATCTAACGTCATTGCGACAAAGTAGTTCCTTTAGGGTCTCGGCAAAATTGGGCTAAGAGATTCACTTATAAAACGAATGTGATACTACACTCTTTCCTTAATGAAAACGAGCTAAATAAGCCAACGTATATTGAACAGCTGAAAATGAACGAGGGTGGATCTTTGCTTATTTATGAGCAACTAATAAAAACTCGATTCTATAACTTGGCCCTCGAAGCTGTGAGCTAGTGTATGGTTAATGCAGGTCCCAATTTATTTTCATTCACAATTTAGGTGCAACACAAGAATTGGATCAACGGAGAGGTAGGTCAGAGAATCCGAACGAAGGTCAAGCAGAAGATCATGCTAATAATGCTGAAATTCCCCAAGCACAGCCTCAACAAGGTGCTGAGGGGGAAGCTGTTGGCGCTGCCAATAACAATAACAACAACAACGAAGCTGACTTTGATGCTGCAGCGGCTGTGCCCCCTCTCACACTGGAGCGCATTTTCGGTTTGGATGGAACTATGACTTTCCTTGAACACGTTCTCTGGATCATTGTTCTAAATGTCCTCTTCATTCTCATTTTTGGTGAGTTTCCTGAGCCGGTGTGGTGATTTAAAAGTCTGATGTGCCTGCTGATAATCTATGTGTCTTTTTTGTTTTCTTACTTCAGCATCCCTTCCTTTCTTTGCTGGACGTGCAGTTTTTTCTCTACTGGGTATTAAAACTGCGGTATGTTGACCATTACATTAATTACTACCAAGATTGGAATCATGTTGCTGATGAAGTATGCCCAATGATAGTATGTTTTGAGGTTTAATATCGTACTTTAAACAACTGTTTATTAGCCTTTTACTAACTATTGCATTAGTATGTATCTAAGGAAGTAACTACTCTGATACGAGTCAATGTTCCCCCTTTCGAATTTTTCTCACTTTGATGTTTCTCCCTCTGTGTAACCCGAAGTCAGCTGAATGGCTATTGTAACTATTCAAAACGCCTGCCATTTGAAATAATAAAAATTACTTAATCATTTTTCATTGTTGAAGGCTCTCTATAGAACCCTTTAATTCAACTTCTTCTTCCTTACGATAGATTTACCTTGGTTTAAGTTATAACCCTGTTGCTATTTAATCACGTATTTAGGATTATGCACACACACACACAGTGTCTGTGCCGCTGACTATTTCTTGAGTTAAACATTCGACACCTTTCTCTTTATTTGTTTGCACACTGTTTATCATAATTTTCGAGGTCTTTTTCTAAGCGGCGTTTGCAAGTATCCTTATGCGTCTCCAATAAATTTATATTGGAGTCTTTTGGAAGGGGGAATTATTTTACTCCGATCCACTTTCTAACCCTCCCCCCCCCCCAGTGTCCTCCAAATAATTTTGAATATTAATAACAACTGCGGAATGTAGCTTCTTAAATATGCTTGAAGTTGTAATTATTTCAATTAATTTGTTTGGTAGTTATTGTACTAATATTTGCGTATGATCCCTAATAGCCTATGACGTTTGTTAGTGGATTTGATAATTCTTATATGATAGTTATGAAGTTATTTTCGTAAGTAATGAATCAAATCAGAGCCGAAATGTATCCAATTAGAACTTATATTCATCAACGTGGAATTTGCCGCGTGTTACAATAGTCCTGTTACATGTGGAATAATTTTTTCCTATTTCCTTGTCTCTTCTTTTGCATATTTCCTTTCTAGTTTATTTTAGAGTAAGCATCCCCTCCCCCTTCCTGCCTTCATTTATACTTCGGTTTGCTTTTAGTTATAGACTTACATTTTACAGTGATTTGAATATTTGAAACAATTATATATATATATATATATATATATATATATATATATATATATATACAGATTTGGGATGCGAGATGGGATTACTTTTAATCATTGTTTAGTGTGTACAATTGTTACTGACGCTATGCACGCTGGCCAGGCGCTGTGAACTGTAAACAACCGAATGATTATGCTGCATAATCACTTCTCTCTACTCCCAACTGGAAATTTATTTCAAGTTGCCTAAAGTTTTTTTTTTCTTTGTAGATTCTCACTTCACAAATTGAACTGATTTTATTCTCCTTCATTGGATACGTAATGATGGCTAGTTTTCTCATGTTCCTCTTCTACTTATTCAAGGCCCTTAAATTACCCAGGTATGCACCCCACTTTGCCGTACGATTCCCCAATATTTAAATTGAAGCGATTTTAATAAGTAGCATATGATATTTTAGATCTGCGTCCTATTACATGGGCTTGTGCTACATCTACATCAAAGTCCCCATCATAGCCTTTGTTGAATTGGGCATCTTCACCGCATTCTGCGGCTTATGGATTGATGCCTGTTCTCTGGTTAGCTAACTATTTGTAATTACTGTTTTAAGTGACGTGGGCACCCTATAGTTGACTTGTTCCCATTCCTTAGGGTATGTTTAATGCATCAGTAGCTCAACGTCTCAGAGCTTTCAACTATGCCCCACTGATATTCAGTTTCGTCCACTGGACCATGGGCCTGATGTACCTCTTCTATGTATCCTCTCTCTTCATCATTATTCGGGAAGTGGTTCGACCGGGTGTTCTTTGGTTCCTTCCTGACTTCACGGATCCTGATTATAGACCTGTTCAAGAGGTAAGAATTTTATGCTGAACGAGGTTTTGAAAGTTTTTTTTTCACGAAAAACTATGTAGTTTATGTATTTCTTTTAGACGATTACGCTGCCCGTGACAACGTACATCCAGCGTCTTGTTGTGAACCTTGTAAGAGATTTCTGAAATAATTTTCTCTCTAATAATTTTTATAATGCGATTTTCTACATTTATTGTAGTCCTTGACGGGAATAATTGTGATATTGACTATCTGGATTCCAACCATGATAACAATCAAAGTGCTGCCCGGATTCTTACCATTCCAGATGAGCCTTGCCTAGTAATTTCAATTTTTCAATCTTGTATTCTGAACTCTGAGACTATCTTCTGCACATGCACATATTGCATATATATTAGGACATGAAGTGTCCTAGAACGACAGATATTTAAATTTCTAATTGCTCTTTACAAGTTTAAACTCCTTATTTCTATATTACGAAAGCACATTTGATTATTAATTAGTGTTTTGTTGCTTGCAATTCTTATTTTTTCGACCCTTCAGGGGGTTCACTGAATACGTTTGGTAAAGTTTTCAATCTTTTGACTGCCTCTAGGTGTTTTTTTGCATAAGAGTGTTCTTTAATTAATCAAAGCGGTTAATTTTTCATATAAATACACAAATTGGTGTAGATAGGGTATTACACTAGCCTTCTCTATTTGAATGTTAGTACCGATAAAGAAAGTGTCTCTTGTTCAGAAACCACTTAAGCATACGATTTTTCTCTAGTTGACATCAATAAACGTTTTGGACACTTAGTTTTTCCGAATATTGATCGTAGTTTCCCATTACAATGTCAATTAGACTTCAATTCGTATCATGTTGCTTACATTTTTTCTACATTTCTCAGTGACAGTCCAGTGGACTACTCAGTGGAAATAATAATCCTTCAAATTGTGATGCCCTTCCTCCTGGACAGTCAAGTCAAGATGTTCATCACGGCTCTGCTTCGAAAGTGGTGTATTGCTTCGGCATGGTTGTTGGGTATTCGCAGCTATCTCCTCGGGGATGTTAGCTTCAAACCTGGTGTAAGTTGTCGTATTGCTTATTTTCGCTATTTTTAATTGCATTACTGTTGGATCTCTAATATGTTTTGTCAAACGTATTACTAAGATAGCCATTGGGGTAGACAATTATTATGCATAGTACCTTGGTAAAGCAGAGAGGATGGATTTGGCTGAAGTAGTTTTGGACCTTTTGCCTTACATATTACCTATCTCGTTTGAGCATATGTATTGCGTCGTTTTCGTTAATTTGTTTAACTTATCGGCCTGGTTACTTTAAACGTGAATATGTTTACTTTCGTCTTATAGGGACCAACTTTGTCGCCTATAATAGCCCAGTCGTCATCCTGGTCACTAGCGACCCCTCCAGGGGTTTTCGAAAAAAGTCACTATCGGTCAACTAATTTTTTGAAATGACTTGGGACACGGATCTGGTCAACTCCCTTTTTTAGTTGTTTTATTTATGGTCAGTGAATTATGAAATGCAAAAATGTTTAACCCCAAAGCAGCAGGCATTCAACAGGCCGGACATTGCACGTTGTTTTCCCTTCATTAGAGGTTGAACGCGCCTGCAAGAACACTTCAGCCAATACTGAAATGTTTGTAGTCATGTCCTTACAGGCCATAGATATCAATTATGACTTAAAGCCGACCATACTAATTGCAATGATGTACCAGAATCAGAATTGACCACATGGGGGTTTGTAAACATTTATGTCAAACCAGGTCGTGTCGCTGAATTTTTCTGAGGGGGGGGGGGGTTGAAGAAAGGGTGGATTAATATTATATTTCTATTTAAAAGTTGCCCTAATGGAAAATTACGTGACCTCACACAGGCGCTTTGACAGATTCTCGCTTTGAAATTTAACTCCTATAACCATACTCTTTGTTGGCAAAAATGAACCTCTATTGACTTATCTCTTCATTTTATGATAAAAATTTAGGAAATAAGTATATTTGGAACTATTCAATGCTGCTATAAACAAATTGGTATTTTGCGAAGTAAAAAACTTTCAACGTCATTCCTGGCACTATTTGACCTTGAAAGTCGCAATAAATTGCCTAAAATGAATCCGTACCAAATTTTCAAGCTACGTTGCGCTCTTCCCCCAATGTTGGTTAAAACTGTTACTTTTCCTTTATATATCCCGTTTCAATTTTGGTACTATGGATATTGTAGTAAAGTCGCTCTAAGCCGTTTTTTCGGTTATTTTCTTATTTCCTCGAGTTCCTTATTTTTGGTCGTACATCAAGATTGAATATTATCTTTTGTTTTTCTTCATTGACGGCCTGCAGGTATCCTCATCACAATTCTTTTGCTTTTAGGATGAAGTTATGATGGCTGACGGGCCTAGGATTCAAACAGCTGATCCAAACACCAGTACTTCGGAAGGCAATTCAAGCAATGACAGTGGAACCTGGAATGCAGGCGATGACAACAATGCTGAACAAGATAGCACTTTTACCCCGAGTTACGTTCCCTACGCTCGACCTCGTTTCTTCGCTCTCCGTCTGGTTGGTCTTCTGGCTGTTCTAGTGGCCTCACTAGTTCTCATCTCCCTCTCTATTCTTGTGGTTCCAGTTGCTCTTGGTCGATTAGTTCTGGGTCACATGGGGCTAATTCAGTCACCTCACCACGACGCCTTAACTCTCTTGGTTGGAGTTTGTGCTCTTATGGGCTGGGCGAAGACTGTTCTCTGGTTACCCATGGCTCTACAATCTCTTCGTAATCTCTGGTTCTTATGTGTGGAGAAGATAGCTTATTTCACCACATGGGAAGGCTGGCACTGGCTTTCTGAATGGATATTGGGTGTTGGGGAGTGGCTTCGTGGAAATTCCTTTACTCCACGTTGGACACGTAGGGAGGCCCTTGCTATGATGCTTCCTCCGCTTTCGAATTCTGACAACTCAGAGGCTCTGGCTCAACAACGCAGAAGAATACTGAAAGAAGTTTTGGTCACCTTGTCTGTGCCTCTGCGCATTATGGTTCTCATTGGTGTTCTTATTATTCTGCTGCCTGCTGCGCTTGGCCTCCTTGTCAACTTAGTTGTATTTATCCCCATTTGGATTGCACCAGAGAAGACACTGGCTATTGGAATCTCTGAGGTTCGTTAAGTTCATCGCCATCTATTTGTTTATGTACTAGTCGCTTGTTTGGCTATTAAGTTTTGGGCTAATGTGAGTTCCTCTTGCTGCTAATCGGGATGTCTACAATATCGGACTACTAAATGGACCTAAAATGTTGGAATGGAGTTAAAGTGTCTTTTCTTTGGTAATCCAAATAAAGAGTTATGCTGTACACAGCTTCAGTAGGTATTTCAATAGTTAAGGTTGGACAGTTTTTGTTCTTCGTAAAAGTTAGAATATAAAATGTTATTGCTTTGAACATCTTAAGTGTAAAGGATGAAATGCCAAACTATTCTTTCTCGAATCCTTCTGATACGCTGTTTTGTATTTTAAAGCACTTAATTCCACCCTCTCGTGTTGTCTCGTATCTAGTAACACCAAAGGAATTTAAGTGTTTTCGAAATATGTGTGGGGTTCAAAAGTTCTTTAGGGTTGAAGCCTGACCCCAAAATTTTCAAAATGAAACTGCCAAATACCCTCTCTAAGAGAGCAGTTAGGTTTCACTGTTTTATATCTTCTTGAGCCAGGTGTTAATTTATATACCTATCACTGTTATTTGAAGATCCTAATAGAGGTTTAGCATGTAACACAAGGCTTACTACCTTAAATGTCAGTGCAAAGTGAAGACGTCTGTACGAGTTCAGCTTCTCCAAGACGGGTACGAACTACGGACTGTGATCGAATATTTTATTATGAAACACAATAGGGGGAAGAAGTAAAACTATAATCATTAACTTCAAAAAGAAGTGATTAAGTGGAAGGGTGGGCCCAATAAGCGGATGATATTTAGTGTATGAAAGCGATAAATTTTATTAACGGTCAAGGAATGAGTCATGGTCATAACGGCCTGAATATCATAGTGAACAGGGTCAAAATGGTAGCTTAATCTTTATGGGTCTCTTCACAGTGTTTCTTATTTCCTAAACCTTATTGATGCCTAAATTTTTGTTTCCCTTCTACTAACAGAGTTGGATATTCGGTGTCATGCACCTAAAAGTGTGGATGCTAATTTTGCTGGTTGGACCTCGCTGGCATATGCGCGACAGACTGGAGGATATCCACAACGAGATTCAACATCACTGGCCCATGGTGAATGTCCTTCGAGTGTTAAAGCTATCGCTTCCCCTATTTGCAGGTCTTGGATTGTCTTTAACTTTCCCCTATCTTCTGGCTTACTATGTTGGACCTCTTCTAAGTAAGTTATCTATCTATATATGTATATATAGTTTTAGTGAGCTTATTGGCGTTATTGTCTTAATAATGTTCTTGAAGCACTCAAGAAATGTCGAGCAACAAGTGCTTTAGACCCTCTCCGGTTTCATACTTTGTGGCCCCGTTTATTGTTCTCCCTATTTTTATAACCTTTCAAGAACGACAATACCAATTCTTGAAATAAGCGCATTTTGTGTAGGCAGGGTCCGATAAATCTAGTAATTTATTTCATTAAGTAAAATATTGAATGGTGGGGTTGAGGGGTGGGGGGGGGGATGGTGGAATGTGAACTTGTACTTTGAATTGACCCATATTCAAAATATCTTTGCTTCTCTTTTTCCAGATGTTCGGTCAGAGATTGCATTCCGTTACGTCTATCCTCTGATCTTTGGTATAGTTCTTCTCGGTGCCTTTGTCTACTGGCAAATATGTCAGTGCATCAAACTCTACGAGCAGATCAAAGATGCCGAGTAAGTATTCCTCTTCTCTTTTGATATTTTGCTTAAAATAAAAATTTTGCTATATGCCTCTGTTTTACTTTCTGCTAGATACCTCATCGGTCGCAGATTGGTTAATTATGGGGACTCAGACAATGGTTCCTCAAGTAGTAATGGGTCAAGCTGCTCTGAGATGGGAACTCAAACCGATTTCGGAGGGGTTGAAAATAGGTCGATGTTACCAGCAATCGCAACATGATAACCTCCTCTCCGTACTTTATGACCGATTTACACCAATAAATATTTGTCTTCACTTTTCATTCGTCCTGCTTTTTTCTATCTTGATCCCCTCTCTTATTATATTCAGCCACATCCCTCTTTACTTCCCACGTTCTTACCATTGTCTTAACTCTTTTGGTTATCTGTCTTCGCAGATTGTCACTCGTGCAGAACAGATTGATTTAAAGCAACACCCACCGTGTAAATATGGCCTTTCCGTGTGTTTAAAGGCCCCTTAACATTAACTTGGCAATGATTTTGTTGCTGTGCTTGGCTTGCTTTATATTATTATCTGAGAAGCTGTGTAAAGCCTGATATATGCCATTATACTTTATGAAGCATTGTTTCTGTGTGTATGAATGTTTTTTTCTAGGGGAAAAAAGGTAGTGTAGAAGCTGCTATTATGATGCTACTTCTTAAACGAAATGCGTGTTCCCCTTCACGCTGACATTCTAGATTTGCCTTTTTCGATAATTTAAATGTGAGGCAATAAGATGGGTTTAATAATAATAACCAAAAACAATAAATGTGCTCTCTCCTGTTCTGTGTAAATTCTAGTAAATCTTGATTTTGTCGCTATGTTCTAACTCCCATTAGATACATCTAGATTCCAGTTGAATCAGATCCGAAGGGATTGGGTAAGGGTTGCGGTTATTCTAAGGCGCTTTATTATCTCAACTCTACCTATTTATTTATGGGAGTAATTTGTTCAACTACCTTGGAACATTGGTGATCCGAAAGTCGTTGGTGTGGTAAAAATTGTGGCCTCCAATAATTGTCGGGCAGCCTTCAACGATGTGCGTCCATACATTAATTAGAGTTGGGACAAACTGATGAAACTAAGTTTCCCTGTGGGCTCCTTACCAGGTACTATTCCATTTTTTAGACTATTAAGAAAAAATGGATGCGTATATGTAGATGAGTATTCTCAATTTTGAAGCTAATAAGGAGGAAAAATGGATTTGGCTATTCTGGTCAATTGATATTTTCTTAAGCACAAACAATTGAAAAGCTTGCGAATTTTCTCCCCTGTTATCCATTGCATTGAATTACTGTCATAACCTTCGTTCTATTTACTTATTATTGCAATAGTAAAAGAAATAAATTATGGACATTGACTACGTGAGTGAACACTTGACAATTCTGTCTCTTCTGGGTTAAAATATGAGTTGCAGTATGTCTTAAGGAATAAGTTGCAGTCTCGAATACTGCGAACAGTAAGTTGAGTCAACAATATCTACTCTTGGAGTGCGAAAACGCACTGAATAAAGACTGAACTAAGTTTGCAAGCAAATGCTGCAATTCGGTCGAGGGGTCTTGAAATTTGGATTCAGAAATGTAAACTGCCCCGTAAACAAATGTGGGGCCAATGGACTTCTAGAGGGTGAAATGGAGTAGGGTTCTGGTACCTTGACTTTATGCTCTACATCTTACGGATCCCCATATCCTCCTCATTCGTTGAAGTTTCCGTTTCTCACAATCAGATATTCCTTGTTGTTAAAAATTTCAAATTTCCTTTACAGTGGGGACAATGGTGATATGAAGAGTAATTAAAATAACTTTACTAATGATCAATTAGATCAGAATATTGGGGACACAAATCATTCATTCTAATTAACCTACCAAATATCTTATCAAATAAGGTCAAATGCCCCAATTGAAGGCATGCACTTAGTTTACATACTGTTGCATATTGGCGTTTTTGATGGCAATTGTCCTTAAAATAGAAGGGATAAATTCTTTGATGCTGTTAATTGGTGGCCGATATAATTATAGCATCGAAGAAGATAGATTGAGGATAATCCATGTGAGTGCTTATCATACTCGAATTCAAAGCCCATTTTAATAAAGTTCGAATATGAGGTTACACTTACTCATCTGACCTCATACTCACATAAATGTAAACTTTGTGCATTACATTAAATAAACAATAAATCGGTCAATTTTGTGAATCTTTAGAAGTCTTTTAAGTAGGGACCATACTCGGTGCGCACCGACGGGTATTCTGCGGATGCTCAACTTTGCTTGTAAAGTTAATCACGAAATAATAGTAATAATAATAATAATAATAATCAATCTAGCAACTCAGTGGCTAAATCTACCACCCGTCTCTACCACTCAATAAATTCTGGATGACATTAGTGAAATAGCTGGGGTGTTAGTATATTCAAGCTGAAAATGAATAAGAGTTCAGTTGGCATGTTCAAGCTGAAAATGCCAAATTAAACCAATCAAAATGTTCTCATGCATGACAGGGAGAGATGCATTTCTCCTAATCCCATTGAATAGTAATGACTGGGGATTATAAACCGAAATGTCAGAAGAACTTCGATTTTGTTGAAATAAACTATAGTGTGCTGCCCAAAATCTACGCAAGGTTTTTAAGAAACTCTTCGAAATTCTATTATGTGTAACTAAAACGATAGTCAGAATTAAACTGTATGAAATAATATTTTTTAACTTAGATAGGAATGATTGGATTTCGAGTAAATCCACCATCCCCCCCCCCTCCCCTACCTCCTCAAATTGAAAGCAATACAAAGTATATTAAAATCCCAATTCATTTATTTATCTCAAAAGTCTACGAAAAAATCTACTAAATTTAAAAACGTCGAAGTCACGACGGTGATACACGATTTAATTTTGGTCGTCAATTGGAGGCTCCACTTTCGACTTCTTGAGATTAACGAAGAGTCTCTTGTTGACAATTGGAAAGCCATTCATACACTTAATGGCTAATTGTGCGCTGGAAGAATTATCGAATGCCACGAATCCTAAAAGCAATGACGATGTGTCAGTAGACAATGAGGCAAACGTTGAGGTAAGAAAGAGGAAGACATAGAAGCGTTTAACTTACCAAAACCCATACTTTCTCCAATTTTATGATGTCTAAATACTTTAGTGCTTACTATTGTTCCGAATGGCCGAAACAGTGCTTCAAGGCCAATTTCATCCAATGTGGCTGGAAGATGGAATATGAAGAGATTGGAATCCTCTTGAACTGCGCTCGGATTATATGAAAAGGACGGATTTAGTGGGTATTGATTTGTAGGTGGCTGAGACATATTTTCAAAAGACATCCAAGGGCTATTCTGACCGTACGTATAACACCGCTGAGGTTGAGACAGTGGTGAATACATGTTTGGTGACTGAGAAAGGGGACCTACGGGTTGTGTATGCGGGCAAGGTAACTGAACCAGATTACCCCAGTTATTGAATACAATAGGTTGTGTTGGTGGAGATAATGTGGGTGAAGGCGGCGCAGGGTGGAAGGGTGACACCAGTTGGACTCCGATAGGTTGATGCATATTTGCTT